TTGGTTACACAATTAATTGTGGGTTTTCTTTCTTCCTGTTTCAGAACCTGCAAATTTCCTGGTAAGCGTTATTGCTTCTTCAATTTGTTTCTTTTTTTTTTTTTTTTTTTGGGCAAAATTCAATTTGTTTCTATGTCACTTAATTCTAGGTAACTGGGTAATTGCGGAGAAAAAACCTCTAAGTGAACAAATCACGTCTTAAATTTCGTGGTTATTAATTGCCTGGTTTTTGAGCTGAGTTTAATTGTGATCACGAGAGACAAAAATAAAAATACCAAATTATTCAACAGATGCATCTCTCTCTAGTGCCCGATTATACATGTAGCTTCCCAGTCATTAATGTTTTAGATTGAAATTATCAAATCCTCTACGCCTTGTTTTCTTCTTCCAGTGTTATGTTTATGATTCTCACTTTCAAGCGTCATACACTGCTTATGTTAGGATTTGAGCCTAGCGGTTCAACTACATGCTTTAACTTGTACCACCCATAAGCTCTACACTATAATGCCAAAGGCACATGATTTCTATAAGCTAAGGTATGCTCACTTCGATTCTCTGCAAATAGATATTCACTACAAATCTGAACCATAGTTGAAGCATAATTGATATCATTGGTTATGTTAGTTTCATTGACAGCGTTTGTTAACTGTTTATACTCAAACTAATCTAACACGACCCTAGGCAATTGTGGGATATTTTCTATTTTCCTGTTTCAGAACCCGCAAATTTTGGATTCAATTTTCCTCTCCCTAGCTAAGCGCTATTGCTTCTTTTCTAATTATCCACAAATATTCTAATTTTCTATGCGACAATGAATTTTCTAATTTTCTAATTTTATTAATTTCATTGACTTATAGACAACTAAATTCTTAACAGATTTATCTCTCTCTACTGGTCGATTATCCATAAAAAAAGCCTCTAAGCCTTACGTACTTCTTCCAATGCCATCTTCATGATGCATCGAGAAGCTCATAACCTATGAGCTTACAACGCTCAAATGCCATATGATTTCTATAAGCTAAGGTAAGCTCACTTCGATTATATGGTTGTATGATTCCTCTTATGTTGTTGGTTTCTCTCATAGCCCTGAGCTTACTAGACGAAATTCATAAAGCATGCACGTCTTACGTTTATGGCTTCAAAATTTCTTCACTTTGCTTTGCATGCCCTGTTGTGATTTGATGCTTTTTGTCTTTACCTTAATGATTAAAAGGACTTCTCATTCTATGCGACAATGAATTTAACTTATGGAGCAATATTTACTAATAAGAACAAATCCATCAATACATAAACTTTAAAATTACAATCCAAATTCTGAAATTTTTTAAATACAGTAGTTGAAAACCAAAGCATTCAGGTCTTTCATATCTCTGTTTCACTTCCACAAATATATTATTTTTCTTTTAAATTATGCTTATCTATGTAACTTTAAAATAGCTGTTAAGAAGGAAACCTGTAACCTTTATTAAGCCTCTGAAAATATACATCTCTCTCTCTAGTTTAACATGTGTCACATAACATTCAAAACAAAAGCATTAACTAAATGCATGTCTTAAGTATAATATCTAAAGACAAATGCTTCTTCATTAATCTTCTTTCTTCTCTTCACTCACGTGATTTCTATAAGCTAAAATAAGCTCACTTCGATTCTATGGTACTATGATTCATCTTCAGCATATAGTGTTGTCTATATGCCATTTCAGTTCTTCTAATCATTATTTTCAGTTAGTTTTCTTGGTTATTTTAGTTTCAGTCATTGCGTTTGCATTCAAAGGAATATTCATTTCTCTAATTGTTAATTGTTTATACCCAAACTAATCTTACATGGCCAGCTTAGAAGATGAAATTCTTAAACAATGTGAAACTATAGAACTATTTTTACCAATGTAAACAAATATTTTAATCTTCACGGTGCTCATACAATAGTTTGATTTGTAACTCTCACCTCTTCAATTTTGTCATTGTGAAGATTATAGGTTTATTATTTAGGGTACTTTCAGTGACAGCATTTGCATTAGAAGATACTCAACAAGTTTCTTTTTTGTTGTTTATTATTTAACGCTTCACTCTACTTTAATTTGTTCCTTCTTTCAGTTCAGAAATGCGGTTGAGCCTTAATGATGAAGCAGCCATTTTGAGCCTTAATTTCATCAACGAATGTACTAAGCTCTGTCTCACTTTCTATTTCTTTAACATACACATAGTCTAACTACCTAGTAAAACATCTATATATCTAATATATCAACACAGATTAACGTTTATATGTTTTGTTTGCCATGTGCTCTGCCCCTCTAACACTCTTTTACATTTTCATGTGATCGTACCATAATTGGATTTTTGTGGAAGTTGTTTCCCATATCTCTTATTGGTCTATTTAATTCAATACTTTTGTGTGTGTCATGAGTAGTTCAAGTATGGTACGATCTATTTAGTTAATTTTTTTAAGATCACAATTTTTATAAATGTAGAGACACACATACGTGTCTTTTTTTCTTTTTTTTTGGTAATGAGTTCTAGGTTTTATCTCTTATCAATAAAGAAATCATCTAAGTCAATTGTAAATCTTCTTCATTAATTAATTTGTAGTATCATGTTTTCTCTCTTTCTTTCAGCATGCTCAAGAAATTTAGTGAACAGTACTACAAAAGCAGTTTGGCTCCATTAACGTCACTAATAAACATGCCAACGAATTTTTGGTTCTCCTAATATTTGAGATTTGTATCATCTACCAAAAACTCAAGAGATGTATATCTCTAGCTCCCTCTGTACAATATGATATTTAATTTGAGTTTTTTTACAAAAACAACAACCAAAAAAAAAAAAAAAAAAAACACTAAACTACTGCCGTACTTAGAGATGATCATATGTCTTGCACGAGATATCCCAGTGAGAAAACCAAGGATTTCATTTGTCTTTGATAAATCCTCTGGATCAAAAATACTGCCGTACTTGACAACAAACTTGAAATCAAGGTCAATCATGAACATACAAGTAAGGTTCTTTACTATAATTTTCTCGAAATGTTTTTCTTTGAGAGTCATATGCTCTAGTCCTCGAGCATCAATCTCAAGTACTGTGTTTGGGACTCTTGATCTACAATAACTTCCATATGCGAACGGAACATATAAAGTCTTCAAGCTCCCAGACCTCACAACTGTAAGCGCAAGCACCAATTCATCCTCGTCAAGATACCTTACCAAGGTCAAGTCTTCAAGAACAGGACATCCTGAGACAAGCTTTTCAAGATGCATAGTACCAGACCATCGAATTTCCCGAAGAAACATGACTTTAAGACAAGGCATAGAAACAAAATCCGGATCCCGAAGATCCGAAAAAGAGAGCTTTAAAGAAAACGATGTCTTGCTCGTAAACAGATTCAAAGGCATGAACTCGAAATAAGGATACATAATGCCGTCATCCTCTTGATATTCGGTACTGCTCACAGCATCAAGAAGTCGAATTCCGCGGTTAATCATTGTACCGTTATGATCCTTGAACATGAGTATCTCATGCTTACTGTCATCTACCTTGAATTTTTGCCTCTGTGAATCAGGATTAAAATCGAGAAACCTGTCGATGAAGTTAATGAACACTATTTCATATTCTTCATCGGGGATTCGATTCTCCGGCGGATTATCGATCAGAGTTCTGGCTTCAAAGGCTAAGCAATAAAAACTAGTATCGATCTTTTTTTTTTCTTTTTTCTTAAATAAAAATAAAAACACTTTATCTTTTCTTCTATTCCACTTTCTTAATTCATCATATCATACTTTTCTGGAAATCTTTACTTTGAATAAAAACTCAATATAAGCTTGTATTAAATAATCTAAAATATAGTTGAAAACATTTTTTCAAACATAAATAAAAACGAGTTTAGAAATATAAGAAAATAACGGTAAAATAAAATAAACCCGAGGTTCCTCAAATACATCACAAGCGAGACGGACTTGCACGACTACTCACGATTCTCATCCTGACATGTGAAAAAGGTAAAAAGGGGTGACTAGAGAATTACTGAGTGAGAGGATCCTTTCCGTCCACTGGAAATACGATACACGAAACTACTTTTACACATCAATCAACAATCACATAGAAAAAGACACAACACTCATATAGTCTACACCACTATGCAAATTATAACACTCATTCTCGCCCTTTGCGAGATCTCCACATCAATTCCAGGTTCGATCATCTCCCCTGACCTTTGAACGTATCTAGTTCCACTAGACTCGTCAGTCTATTATTGAGCTACAAAAAAACCGTCAATTCAATGTAGACCTTTTCCACTTTTCCACTGTTCATCATCTCAAAAGATGATAATTCCACTTCCTCATATAAACATATAAGAAATTGTTATCACAATGACACTAACTCAATCATCCTATATCACTAAAACAATCATCATATCATTAATCCTAATTAATAAGTCATTACTACTAAGCAAACAGATCTAATCCTATGCAAGTGAATAATGAAGCATAAAAATAGTGACTTGTAATCGCATCTCCGCAAATCACACCCTCACATTTGCCTTTTGATGACGAAGAATAGCTCACTTAAGTATCCAAACAAACGCACCAGTAAATACACAATGGACCGTTCACTTCTTAATCCAACCGTTGCATTTCAAGCTTGTTGTACCACAAAGCTCTCCCCAAAATTTCAGCTTGATCGGATTTGTTTTGATTCTCCAAACACTGTCCCAAAGAAGATACCTCAAATCTGTTATTTTAGGGTTTCTTGCACACAAAGCAAACGTCGTGGCGGTTAGGGTTTACCTTTCCTGGTGACTAAGCTGGCTCCAATGGCTTTCCTGACACTCCCTCTAAACGTATCCACCGTCGGCTTGTCCTCCACAGATCCGAGATGCCCGAAATCTGCTTTCCAAAAACCCAACTTGAATCTGAAAACTGATACTTAGTTATTTATGAGTTTAGAAAACTGTGACTTTTGTCCAACTTGCAACTCGAATTACGGATGGAGTTTACCTCGTAATGGAGAACCGTTTATTGTTGTGTCTTACTTGCAGCGAGATCTATCCAGCGACACTAAAATCATGATATGGTTCCTTCAGATTAGACGAGAAAATGTTCACGAATATCTCTACTTGAATTGATCTCTCCTTTCTCTTTTTCCCTCAAAACACAATTAGTTTGAGATGTAAGCCACTAAATCCTCATGGTAGCAATAGAGACTAACATGATAAGAAAATAAAATAAGGCTAGGTCTCCTTACCAAATGAAATAGAGATGAACGGTGATGAGTGGTGGAGATACGTACGACCTTCACAATTATCTCTCAGTCGAGGTTATCTCTTCCTCTTTCGCGTAAACGTACGAACCACCACAACAGCAGCAACAACAGAAGCTTACAAACTCAACAACTAGGAGGTGGCTGACTTAGATTAGCGTTTATGATCAAGATGTGACGGTGGCTTGAGTTGCTGCGACGAAGAGGGAGATATATATACTCCTATGGTATATACACGACACTTAGGTTTTACTTTTGTTCGTTGGGCTTTAGTGTGTTTAATGAGAAATTGGGTCTCACAATATGTCTATAATTTACATGTTTTGAGCATTCATTTGTCATCATTTTAGTTTTCTTTCATCATTGTTTCATATCATTCTTCATCGTTTGTGCATACTTTCCATACTTAGGTCAGTCCATCATAAGTTTTGCATACATGTTCTATATTTGAGTTGTTTTCAGGTACTTTGGAGTTGTTAGTGTGTGAATTGGGGAGAATCAAAACAGAAGCACATGTCACTCGACCCATGTGATCGAGTAGAGATGGCAGAAAGCTTCAGCTCACCACTTGATCACGCCATAAGACATCATACACGATCACCAGTTCAACTCACCACTTGACCATGTCATTTCGCATGCCACTCAATCACTAGTGCTCACATACCACTCTATCCCCTTGGTCGAGTAGATGCTGCAGAGAGTTTCAGAAGCCACTCGATTGCATGTCTTCACATGCCACTCGATCGCCTATCTTCACATGCCACTTGATCGCATCTTGCCTTCACAACCGAGCAAGAGTTATAAAGGCACCACTTTCATTCAATATCATACTCGACCCTTTCACTCGATCACATGAGTCGAGTATGTCCGTAAAACCGCCTTTGATTTTTGTCATTTTGTGTTTTAGGATTTCTTAGTATTTGCTACAAATATGCCTCTTTCTCTTTGTCCAGGGGTCTGTCGCTTTATCCGCCGAATAATTTTATTTCTAGAATTTGTAATCTTGATTACTTTCAATCCTTTAAGTTTTTGCATTTGAATTTTTTTACAAAGTTGTTTATTTTGTTCAGATCTTTAAGTTATGATGTTTTTGAAGATTTCTGGGTTTATGTTCTTGAGCATGTTCCTTGAGTAGTAATTAGGGTTCTAAAGGATGGGTTAGGGTAGTTTGGAATCCTTAATCTGTCAGGTGGTTAAGCTTTGTTTGTTTAGATCTCTTCTCGATTAGTTGTTCTTAAGGCTAATTCTGTTCTCATCAATTGCAATTTGAGCCCAGGCATTTTGCACTCCCAAAAGGTGTTTCATGAAATGCCTGAACCATTAATTCCAGAGATTCGTGTCCTTGTCCCAAGGTATTGGTTACAGAAGGCGTTTCGGCTTTAGCATCTTGATTCTAAATGCATGGTTGGTTAATTTTCATCAATGGTGATTGAGTCTGTGACTAGCTTTCCTTGAGGGTTTCTATTACGGAAGTGAATTGATCTTTTATTGAGCATGTTGTCTGGGGATAGTTTGATTGAGTCTTTAACCACCTCATAAGCTAAGGAGACCATTCTATTCGATTACCCCATCCTTATGGATTTCTCATCCATTTGATTTCTCTGTTTACATTCCTGTTCTTTGCATGTTCTATTGCATGTTGCTACGTTTTCGCATTTCTGTCTGTTTTTCACTTGTCAATTGATCTCACCTAGTGTTTGGAAACAGACTGTGCGATCGAGTAAGTTGTTGATTTTCGGTCTGTTTTAACTTCATACTCGATCACACCTAGTATCTGGAGGCAGACAATGCGATCGAGTAGCCTGTTGAATCTTGTTAGTTTTTCTGTCTTCTGCATGATCACTTAGGACTGTTAGAAATCAAAACCTGTTTATGCTTGGCTTGACTTAGTGACTTCTGATCATATCTTGATTATTAGCATCACACCTGATTGGATTGACTTCTTAAGTATTGCAATGACATGATAGTGGTATAGGATAATTGAGACTAGTAAAATCCTACTATCAATGCATGAGTGGAAACTTTTGTTGGTTTCCTTTGTGGATTCAAAAAGAAGAAGTGGAGGACGGGGTAACCGAGTATTGCACCTCACATTTTTTCTGCGGTGAAGCCATCTTCAATAGTGTGTGGATTTGCTTCAGATTTACCTCGATTCCACGATTAGTTACTAAATAACCAAGAAATTCAACCAATCTTACCGCGAAGCGACATTTGGCCGGGTTGAGTTTCACGTTGTGCACGTTGAGCTACCGAAAACAGTCATGCAGATGAGCCACGTGATCATTTTCTTCGAGCGATTTAACTAGCATATCGTCATGTATACTTCCATGGTCTTCCCGAGCTGTTCTGCAAACATTCTGTTCACGAGCCATTGGTACGTCTTGCCAGCATTTTTGAGTCCGAATGGAATGACTTTGTAGTAGTAGATGCCTCGGTCGGTAATGAATGTGGTCTTCTCTTGGTCGTCAAGATGCATTAATATCTGATAGTAATCCACGAAGGTGTCCATGAACGACAGAAGCTTGTTCCCGGTTGTTGCTTCTACCAGGCAATCGATATGCGGTAGTGGGAAGCTAACCTTGGGGCAGGCTTTGTTTAGGTTGGTGAAATCGACGCAAACTCTCCATTTTCTGTTTTTTTTTACCACGACTGGGTTAGCCAGCCAATCCATGTACCTTGCTTTGGTGATTAACCCGATGTTCAAAAGTTTTTCGACTTCGGCGTTTATATCATTTGCTTATTTTCGACGTTCATCAATACTTACACCAGGCAGATCCTCGGGGTGACCAAGCGAAAGTATCGATATTTTTTTAGGAATGAAACGAGCTCGGACCTAATCTCCTCGTTTAGATTGTAACATCCCCGATCCTTACTAGGATCACGGGACGGACTATGGTCGGGAACAAAGGGAGCCTTGCCACGGAAAAACTAAGGAAACTCGTTCCATGGAAAGTATTGGCAAGTCGGAAAAGAAATGACTTAGCCAAATATTAAGGGAAAAAGGAAGAAGTTCGAAGCAAAGGAAAGAAGAAAACAGCTCGATGGAGCTAAGAGGGAGCTGGACCAGCTGCCGACAAGCTGGCGGGAGTGATGGTTAGCTCGGGTAGCTCAGCCGAACTGAATGGAGTGTTGAGCAGCTGGGTCAACCACCCAGCTAGTAAGACGGTTACTTCGGGTAGCTCGGCCGAGTTGGATGGAGTGTTGGAAAGCTGGGTCAACTACACAGCTAGTGAGACGGTTATTCGACGAACACGTACCAAGCGTATGGAACGATTGGGGACGATTACTCGACGAACACGTACCAAGCGTGTAAAATGGTTGAGACGGTTACTCGCCCGAAGAAACCGTCATATCTCATCCGTTCGATCAAAAGGGCGGTTACGAACGGTTTCTCGACCCAAAAACGTATAAAAAGAACCCTTTGGGTCATTTTTCACGGGGGGAAGGAAAAGAACAAGGAAATCATCGTAAAAATCCAAAGGAATATCGAGAAGAGAGAGATTCTATGGGAAGTTACGAACAAACTAACCATGGTGGGTGAAGAGATCGAGAAACCGACGGAGTTGGCCGGTACGAAAGAACAAGGACTGCACGTGGAGACATCTGAACGTGTGGAAAAGGTGAGGGTATGACCGACTTGGCCAGAGATCCGGTGATACGGATCGGCCAAGGGTACCATTCGGTTCATGCGGCCTATCATACCTTAAGATTATTATTTTGGTATAACGATCATAGGAAGGGTTCGGGGTAAAACATGGGAAGCATCATAGCATGAGCATGATTTCCGAGTGTTAAATTCTAGAATACTTATGTCTCGTTGATTTCAGGAAAAGATAAGGATCGCGGGAAGGACTTGGCTTAGGCGAGGAAGACGTGTTGTCCGGGAAGATGGGTGGTGTAAATAATGTATATAAGTCTGGATGTGTAGGATCGAACGATTGTAATAGCCTATAGTGCAAACTCTAATATTGTTCGAAACCGTTATAAATAAATAAAGTCCTGATTGTTTCCGTTATTTAATTGCATATCGACTCTTTTGTTAATGAATCTCAGAGTAATCACGATCTAATTTTATTAAGTATGAAACGGAAATAAGTCTCGGTAACACTTAGTATTTCCGAATGGAGACAACCTCTTTAGACTTAGAGTCCGGGGATGGGATGTTTCATAGATCGCATCAGATTTCTACGAACCGTTTGGGTCGTTTCTCGTCGAGGCAGACGGAGATGACAGGATCCGAGGTAGGCTTCTTTTCCTCTCGAGACTCCTCGATCTGTAACTGCCATAACTATTTAGACAGGGCCTTTTCCTTGCTTCGGCCAATCTTCGCCTTCTTGTGGTTGACCTCGGCTTTGGAATCGGTGACAAGGTTCCAAAGTTTATGCGCTTCTATGAAGCACATCGTGGAGTTCTTTTGGCTTTCCCATATCGTCTTTACGTCGCTAGGCGTCAGAAAATTCAAGCAGAGATGGTATGTCGAGGCAACGGCTTGTATCAAATTCAACTATGGGGTACCCATTATGGTATTATAGATGGTCGGCTGATCTGTGACAGAGAAGTCGACTATCTTTATTATCCCACCAGCTTGGACTGGCAGCTGAATGGTTCCGAGTGTCATTATGGTCTCTCTTGAGAATCCAAGTATTGGCCTCGGAGTCGGAGTTACTTGCGATATGCCGATGTTCATTTGCCATTGGGTCTTGATGTGTCGATAATTTGCATGTTTTCTGCATTCATTCATCATTGTTTTGAGTCTAGTTTCATAACATTTATCACTATTTTATATCATTCTTCATCATTCTTGCATACTTTGCATGATTATGATAGGTTTGCATACATTTTGCATTTCTGAGTTGTTTTCAGGTGATTTGGAGCTGTTGGTGATCTAATTGGGAGAAACGAGCCAGAGTCAACAGAGTATCACTCGACCACAAGGTCAAGTGCCTCCTGCAACGCTTACTCGACCTTGTGGTCGAGTGACAGCAGCCGCCATCCTCCTCATTCACTCGACCAGGTCACTCGATCACACCACTCGACCCCGTGGTCGAGTGACACAAGCGCCAGGATTCCTGAAGCACTCGACCACGTCACTCTACCATTCACTCGATCACGTCTTCAGAGTCTTCTCAAATCCGCACGCAACCAGACAAGCTGAGCATAAGGAAGTGAAGAGGAGAAGAAGAAGTGTTTGGAAGCGGTCTGGAGTTTCACTCGATCACATGGCCCAGCTTCGGCCCATTATCACTCTACGGGCTGATCGAGTGGATTTGCGACCCATCTCTTATCTTTGTTTTGTATAAATAAGTCTTCAAGGGTTTTGTCCCGAGCTATCTAGTTTTTGCTTCGAGTTTTCATTTCTATTAAACCTAGTTTACTCTATCGCTTAGCTGCTTTCGTCTGCAATCTTGTAATTCGAGATTTTTCCAAGTTATTCAGATTTCGCATTTAATTTCGTCTATCACCTTGTTTCTCTACTCTTTATCTCTTTACTTATGCAATCTTCTTGTTTATTTGCGATTATGTTTTTGAGTATGATGTCTGAGTAGTGACATAGAATTCTTAATGATGGGATAGAATGGTTGTGGGATCTGTAGTCTATAGGATGGTTAAGTTTTAGAATTGATTGAATCCCTTCTGGACTAGTTGTGTTTATTGCTTGTTTTTTTCTGATTAACTGGAACTCGATCCAAAGCATTCCCGCACACAGAAAGTGTTCGATGGAATGCTTGATTCACTATCCCAAGGGATTGGCCGTTTAGAGCGTTTAGAGCGTTTATTGGACCTATTGTCTAGGGATAGCTTGATTGCGCTTTGTTAACCATCTGAATAGGCTAAGGAGACCACTCCATTTGATTACCTCATCCTTATGAATTTTTCGTCTATTTGATTTCTCTATTTTCATTGCTATTGATTGATTGTTATCATTACCTGTTTTCACATTTCTCACCTGTTATCACCGTTGTACTCGACCACACCTAGTGTCTGGTAACAGACTGTGCAGTCGAGTACTTCTGTTATACTTTCTGTCTGTTACTCGACCACATCCTGCTCCTGGCATCAGCCAGTTGTGGTCGAGTGATTTCTGTAATTCTGCAATTTCTCTGTTTTCTGCATGATCACTTAGAACTGCTACAAACACCAAAACCTTTAATTGCTTGGCTTGACTTAGTGACTTCTGATCTCATCTCATCTGTTTGCATCACACCCATTTGGATTGAGACCTAAAATACTACACCGACACGATAGTACTTTAAGATAATTGATCTAAAAAACCTATTATCAGGTCTCGCGAAAAATTACGTCAATAGTACTACCTGTGTCGTTAAACACCCTCGACACGTCGTGGTCTCCTATAACAAGTGTAATGACCAAGGGATCGTTATGAGGCCTGTCAAGCCCATTTGTTTCATTTTCTTCGAACGTGATCACATCGTTTGGTCGGTCAAATGGCCTTGCCCAGTTACTAGGCGCCTGATATATCGTGGTTTTTTACAGATTTTAACCATGATATTAGATATGTTTCTAGAGTCTTCTTGGTCCTTTTGCACCTTTTAGAGTCTTTGTAGGTATCTACAGGTTTAGGAGAATTCTGGAGCAAAAGCTGGACATTTGGAGCAATATGGCTAACAAGAGCAACTAGTCACGATTAGAGTATCTTGGTGTCGATCGACACTAGAAGTGTCGATCGACACCGTCGCGTTTTGCTTGGACGACACACGTTTTTAACAAGTTTTGAAGAATTGCATAATGGCCCTCATGTTCTTGTTTATTGCAAAAGAACTCCCTTACTCTACCTCTTACTATTTTTAATGCAATTTATTCAAATTATGATTTGTGTTTCTTCTACCATGTCTGAGTAATTCACCTGTTAGATTTAGGGTTTTTCCATATATTGATGAATTGCTAAGCTGAATAATTTGGTAGGGTAATTTTAGGGTTCTTCACCTAGATTTGATTTAGTTACTAGTTCTAGACTGATCACCTGGAATCTAGCTCATAGGATATTAGATAGAATCGAGAGGTCATCTATTTCCTGAAATAATCTTAGGTGAGCAAAAGGACTATTCGCATCGAGAGGTGGTTTAGTACTTCTGTGAACATATCAAACCTGAACTTTAATGCTTGTTTAGTTTTAGGAATTCCCATCGAGAGATGGGATTTCTATTGTTAGACATAGAGAGTTAATGCATCGAGAGGTGGTTAATTTGATATTTCTGATTTGAGTTCAAGAACGGCGCTACAGGTCAAATTGATCCTAAAGCTTACTCTCTCAAATTAAGAGGTCAATTGCAGCACTTAAGGATCGAATTCCACGAAGTTCATTTGTTCACACAATGAGTTATAAGTTTCGAAATTATGCTAAATAAAATAATTAGAATTTAAATAAAACACGAGCAAGCAATGTTATCAGGTGAAAAGATCAATGAATTAAAACGTTAGGTTTAGGGAAATTCTCAGGAAATAAACTATTAGTAAATCTAGCAAATTGATTAGGACTCAAAACACTAATGACTAATTAACCACCACTACAAGAAATAAGTGTAGCAGTACATGATAACATTTTTAATATTTATGCTATAGTTAAGTTTTGAGAAAATTTATATAGCGTTTTCAAAAAGGCAAACGCTATGGTAGAATGGGCGTCAAAAAAATTCGTAGTAGAGCTAAATTTTTGGTTCTATGACAGCATACGTGACAGTAAACGTCATCGTAGGAATAAGCGGGAAATTAAAAATTTATTGGCTCCAAATAAAACTTTGGCTCTAAAATTTTATTAAGTAAAAAAAGAAAAAAAAAATGAGAAAAACATGATATAGAAAAGAAATAGAATAGATTGAAACTAGATCTAAAACTTTTTGGCTATCTCTTCTCTCTTCCTTCTCTCTCAAACTCGATTGAAATCTTGGCGGAAGATGAGGAGTCGACTCTGTCTTTCTCGTTTTGTACGTTCTCGTCACACGGAGGAGAGCTCTATCTTCTACTTTTGTCGCTGCCGTAGCATCTTCACCGCCGATTTCATCGCTGCCGTAGTCCCCACACCACCGATAATTCCTAGGACACGAAGAGGATTTGAATCGGTCTGTTTTGCTCTGTTGTAGGAAGATTTCAATTTCAGTAGAAGGCAATTGATATAATTGGTAGTGTTCTACTTTTAATTTGGGTTTAGGGTAGATGTTTTACGGAACATTTAGTGTCGAGAAGTGGCGCTAAATATATCATGGTGTCCTCTAAATATATCAGCATATTACATTGGAGGTTGGGGAAATTATTCCAATGAAAAAATATGAAAATGGATTGGGTTCTTTACGTCCCACTTGAACAAAGGTATATAGACATCCCTTAATATTACTCTTAAGCAATGAGAAGAGAAAAAGATAGTACATTTGTGTATTACTCTTCTTACTTTTTGTGTTTATGGGAGTTGTTGCTAAATTCATCTACTTTTGTTCTTCTGCAGGGATAGACAAGTTGATAGAAAGAACCTTCTAGGTAAATAAAATGTGGTATCTTTTTCTCTCAATGTTTTATTACCATGCAAGTTATAGAAGACTTGATTTGTTCATTTGCTTTGTAAAGGAAAAAGAATTACATTACATATGGTTTTGAAGCAGAAAGCTTTATCTAAAAATGTGATGCAACACTTTGCATTCTTAGCTTATTCCCATTCACATTCAGCAACTTAGAGTGCAGAAATTGGTGTATTCAGCCTAGCTTTGTATATATTCTTTGTAGGTCCGCTCTCAAGCATTTGTCGGAGGATTGTGCTAAAAAATTCAACTATTGCCTTCCTTGTGAGCTTAAAATTTGATATGCTTAGCTGGTTATTATTGATGATATATTCTCAGTACCATGTTTTCCCTAGACACCAGACTCTTAATATTACTGTTTTGATTTGATTTGCAGACATCAGAACCTTTAAGGTAGATGAATCTAAGCAGAGCACTGTGGTTCAAATAAGGTTCCCTTTTGAGCCACCAGATTTTCTTTTATACCATAACAGAGACTACTCCTCGGAGGTACTCTCCATTGTCTTTCAGCTAATAGATATTTGGATAAACATATTGTTAATTGGTAGTCTCGTCTGGTCTGAGTAATTATGTATTATTTCTTTGCACTAAGAGAATAAATTCTAAAAACTATTTCAAAAGAGAATAAATATTTTTGTTGCACAAATCAACCTTAGGTGAGCTTTTTTCTCCCAAACACTAGATGACTTAATACACGTTTCATCTCCAGGGATAATCGTAAAGCCCTTAAGTGATCACATCACTAAAGCATTAGCAAAACATTGAAGTTGAGAGTACAACACGCACACACACACGTCCATGTGTAAGCTTCTTATCTGCCTCAAGCTGAATTGTTACGTTGTTTGTTTCTGAACATTAAGCTTGTGTAGATGTGTTTTGGTCCCAATCTCAGATAGAAAAGCCAGTGTAATCCGGTTTTCTGAATCTTTTAGTCTCAGATGTGAACAAAAGCAACTTCAAGCAAGATGTGCTCAGAGGTTAATTAACAACATCAAGACTGTGAAAAAGATTTTGGACATGAAGGTGCAGAAGTCATACTATTGATGAGGCCTAACGATAAGCTCATGATCTGAAGCAAGATAATGTTAGGTAGCTTAAGTTGAAATTTATGGTTGTGTGACACAAATAAAGTTCTTTCGGTTTGGTTTTGAAACTAATGTAGTCAAACTAGAGTTCTTATTTAATTGTATTATTTTTCATTAATTCAAACTGGATTGAAATTTATGTATAGCGCAAAAAAAAAACAAAAACAAAAACAAAAACAAAACAAAAGATATTGCATAATACAAATGCTATTTTAATTGAATAAATTGCGTATTATAAATGCTATTCTAATTGATTAAATTGCATATAACAAATGCTGTAATTTGATAATTAATAACAAAATATACTCGCTATTATATAATATTACATTGCATAAGAAAACATGCTATAATATGTAAATAAAATATAGCACCACCAAAAACCGCTATTGGAAACCGTCGACCTATTATCATGGGCGCAGATATAGCGCTTTCTACTCCGCTATCGTCTCGTTAGATAGCGTTATTCGACCGCTAAGAATACTCAATTTTCCTGTAGTGCACCTCTCGATGCGCTAACTAACAAGTCTAATATTAGTAATTCCACCTCTCGATGCGAATTCCTAGATCTAGACTAGCATTAAATTCAGGTTTGATATGTTCACCTTAGTAGATAGGCCGATTCTTATTACACACCTACAAACCAGGCTCATCTAAGGTAATTCCAGTAACAGGTGCCCTCTCAGATCAAATACCTATTATCCTAAGATCAGGTTCTAGTTAGCTACTCTAGAACAAGCATTAAGAACAACCTAGATGAAGAACTCTATAGATTAATCCTAACAGGTAATCGATTTACTAGTTCATCTAAATCCCTAATGAGAATCCCTAAATCTAACAGGGTGATTACTCAGACATGATTAATGAAATAGAAAACATGTTGAATAGATTGCAAAATAAGAAATCAAAAGAAAGAAAGAGTTTAGAATGAATCTTCTCTCTAACAAGGTATTGAAACTCTGAAAAGTTGCTCTCTCCAATTATATTCCAAAGGGTTCAAGCTCAGAGAACTACAAAAGCCAAAGACAAGATAATGAAATAGAAAAACCCTAAAATCTATTTTAAAAGTCTCAAAAACGTGCAGGGACTAAAATTGCAAATAGAGAAGTTCTGGGTAAATTATGCGGGCTTTAAAACTCTAAACCGTCGAGATTTTTTGCTGGGCCGTGTATGGTGTCGAGCGACACCAAGGGTGTCGGTCGACACCAATGCCTTGGTTCAAATCCGAATTCGTCTCTTCAGCTCCAAATCTTCGGTTTAGCTCCAGAATGATTCATTTTCTCCAATTTTGTCCTGAACGTGCAAAAACCTGAAAAGACTCGAAAAGACACTAGAAACAATAAAAAGACTCTAAAACTGACACGTAAATCATGGTTAAAACCAGTAAAATCCGTGATATATCAATAAACCCTTACCTGTTATTTAATTTGTAATTCTGATTTACTGAAAGGAATAACCTTAAATCTAGCTCTTCCATCAATTAATTTAAACCCCCTTTCATTGCTAGTTTTTATTTGATTTCTTTATTTTATATTTAGCTTAATTCGAATTGCTGAATTGTTTATTGTGTGAACAACGAGAACTTTGTGGAATTCGACCCTTAAGTACTACAATTTGATCTCTTATTTGAGAGAGTAGTTCTAGAAGTTAATTTGGACCTGTATCACATTCACCGGATCGTTCAGATTTCCCGCAGCACCAACTACTGCATTCACCTCATCCACGACTTCCTCATGCACGACATTCACATCTCTTGCCGCAGCATTCACATAACTCTCATCATTTCCATGATTTCTCCTCGGATTTCGGTTACTTCTCGCCATCTACAATGACCAAAGATCAGATACACTAAGTTAGTCCCCACACTAACTTAGTTTCACAGCCACAGAAAACAAACCAGACATACCGCAAGACCTTGGCATTGGAAGGATAGATTTAACCCGCTAACCCTTATGCTAAGTGATAGTAGGATTTTAGCTAAGATCAATTATCCTTAAATCACTATCATGTCATTGTAGTATTTAAGGTGTCAATCCAAATGGGTGTGATGCTAGCAATCAAGATGCAATCAGATATCACAGAGTCAAGCCAAGCAATAACAGGTTTTGGTGTTATTAACAGCTCTAGCGATCATGCAGATAACATAAATTCTAACTATAACAGGCAATATACTCGATCACACAGCTTGATGCCAAGCACTGGATGTGGTCGAGTATCAGGTCGAGTAATTTAACAGAAACTGTAAACAGGGTACTCGACTGCACAGTTTGTTACCAAACTACTGGGTGTGGTCGAGTACTTCAAATGAAACAGGGTAGAAATGATAAAACTGAGCAACAAGTAACCAGATCAAGCAATTAATAGCGATGTAAACAAAGAAATCAAATGGAAGAGAAATTCCTGAGGATGGGGTAATCGAGTAGTGAAGTCTCCTTAATCTAACAGGTGGTTAACATGCTCAACAAACTATCCCTAGACAACAAGTTCAATAGCCAAATCAAAGTGCTACCGCAACAGAGATCCTCAAGCAAAGCTAGTCCCAGACTCAATCACCATTGACGAGAGCTAACCTAACAGGCATTACGAAACAACAAGTCTAAGCCAAAACGCTCCCTGTAACCAATACCTTGGTACAGAGCCACGAATCTCTGGAATTAGCGGTTCAGACATTTCATCGAACACCTTTTGGGTGCGGAAATGTCTGGGCTCAGATTCCAGTTGATCAGAAAGCAATCAGCATTAAGAACAACTAATCCAGAAGGGATCTACCAATCAAACTCAACCACCTAGCAGGTCAAGGATTCTAAACTACTCTAACCCATCCTCAAGAACCCTAATCACTACTCAAAACTCATGAACATGAACATAAACCCAGAAATGCATAAAAACTTCATACTAGCAAGATCTCAACAAGATGAACAACTTTGTAGAAGAAATCAAAAGCAAAAACTCAATAGATTAAGAGAAATCTGGATTACAAAGATGAAGAAACACTAATTGTTCTGCAGAAAATGACTTAGACAGAATAAAACTTAGTCTGAAAATTATGAGAAACAACCTATTTACCCTAAAACACAAAACGACAAGGTTTTAAAGCGGTTTAAGAGAGTATTCGACTCTTGTGATCGAGTAGGAGCAATCGAGTAAAGTTGACGTCTTGGCGGTTTCTTGATCTGGTCGTGATGCAATCGAGTACCTAGGTCGAGGTCGAGTATGTGCTCGAGTTCTGCTTCATCCTCTTCTCTTCCTTATGCTCAATGTCTGGTTGAGTTGGGATCTGAGAAGACTCTGAAGCTTGTGATCAAGAGGCTGCGTGGAGGTGGTGATCGAGCATCTGCTCGAGTGATCTGAGGGAGGCTTGCTGGGGAATGCTCGACTGACACGATCGAGTATGTCGACAGAGGATGCGATCAAGTGTTGTGGCAGGTTGTGGTCGAGCATCTGCTTCAGTGGCCAGGATGACGGTACTCGGCCTCGTGATCGAGTACGTGGTCGAGTGGTGGCGTTGAAGTGGTGATCGAGTCATTTGGTGAAGAGCACGGTCGAGCGCTTGAGAAGCGGTGGAGCTGATCTACTCGATCACCGTGGTCGAGTGGTTCCTTGTTTTGTCCCTGATCATGCTCGACTGAGTAGGTCGAGTGTGCTGTCTGATTTGGCTCTGCTTCTCTCAATCTGCTCACAAGTGGCTCCGAAGCACCTGAAAACAACTCAAATATGCAGTATGCATGCAAAACTATCCTAAACATGTAAAGTGATGACAAATGATGAAGAATGGTATGAAACAATGATGAAACGATGCTAAAGCGATGCTAAATGGTTGCTTAAAACAGGTAAAATATAGACATATCAACTCCCCCAAACTTAGTCTTTGCTTGCCCTCAAGCAAACAATCAAGAACAAGCTGGAGGAGATGTTTGAAGGTGGGGGTTCAGAACCAAAGCATGCAGACAAAGCAAATGAACTCAATGTCCAAGTTAGTAATTGTGGAATGCTTAGAGACCAAACTCTACTTAAAAACTTTAGCCATATTCATCACAAGACAACCTAACATTTGTTCCAATCTACACACACCTTCAGATCATCAATTCCCTTTAACATTGATTAAGCTCAAACCATGAATCAAGCAAAACATTGTTGAAGAACTCATTTGGTTTAAAGGACAAGGCTGAGAAACAAAGATGGTCCCTCTGTAAATGGTTTCAGACTTTTTCACAGTAACAGGGAACTCTCATGAATGGACAGAGCTTTAGTAGAATGCTAAAGGTTAGAACCAACCTACGCATACAAGAACAGACCCCATCTACCCAAATAACCATAATCATATCAAACTCTATAGATGGTCCTATCTCTAAACCCCAGAAATGATCCTAATTCTACCCTTTTGCACTCAAGGCATGTTTCAATAATCTCTTGGATCAACCCATTCTTTGTTTTTGGTTTTTGTTCTAAGGAGAGGTTTTCTTTTAGACTTTCTAGCGGATTGGGATTTTCTTTAACAACTAAGGCTCTTCTTCTCATCTCATGACTTAAGACAACTCTAGGCTTTTGCCTTTCTTTTTACTTTGCACAGAGCCTAACTTCTTTTATTTTCAAGCTTCCCAATTCCTTTACTAGACTAACATGATATTCTTTTCTGTTTCACTTCCATCTCCTAAGAACAATAACACTTGTCTTTCTTTCTCAATTTTATTCCAAACACATTCCCAAACCCAAAGTAAAACTCCCACCTAGTCCTATCTAGCCCAAAAAGCGTCGACTAGAACTACATGGGATACCATTCTTGTCGGTTCATACCTAACACTTTCTACCAAGCTCAATCCGGAAATAGGCCTCACACACACACAAATTTATTCAGGGCTTGAAAGAAAGGTTAGGTTCAGGGTGGGGGAAACTGTTCCAATGATGGGAATCAGCTACTTGGATTAGCAAGAGTGGTAGAAGGTGAAAGAAAATCCAAGTATGTGTATTGGTAGCCACAAGTTCAACAACAATGCAAAGACATGATAATTATAAGTCAAGTTCAGGTTCTAATAGATAGGGAAAAGAATCACATCCAGCATGCTTCAATTAAAACAAGAGAGTCAAGTTGTGAATTCCAAATATGGTGCAGTCTTAATTCAAGTTCTATCACAAGCATTAA